GAAGGTCCGTAGTTAGAATCCCAGCAAGAGACTCGGAAATTGTACAGCCACTACACTGAGACCATAGTAAAGAGAAATGACAAAACCCATGCCACTTTCGTAAGGGAATGTAGTCGATTGTGTTTTTTTCTATATCCTGAGTATGTGTTTGTTTGTGGCAGCTGGTTCACAGGTGAAAGAACAAGGATATTGTGGGAGGTCTTCCAACACCATTTATTCCCAAACACAAGGAAGTATGGATCATGGAGTTCTGAAGCTCTCATAAGTATACAACAAAATCTCTATTATATACCCTCTCTCTTTGTCATTTGTACACTCACAAAATTCAGATAAATAACCTCTTCACAATTGAGTCATTTTTACACTCAGTGTCTTATAGGAACGCTTAGAAAATCTCTCATACAATGAAGCGTTCGTATAATATGTGACTTATAACTATGTCTCTCTGAATCTATGAACAATAAAATAATTAGATTAAACTCTACACTGCCAGAAATAATCTATCATATTCTGAATATATTAAGACAATGAATAACATCTCTTCAAACTCCAATCTACACTCAAGAAGACTGAAATGTTTCGTGTCGGTATTGTGAGATGCGGAATATTTCGTTGCGCTTATGAGTATGTGTTTTGTATTAGATGACCGGATTTAATAAAAGGAGCATATGGCGGAGAAACCGAAACTGTTGTGTGGTACATAAGATTGCAAATGTAACTTGAATTGTAATACTGCAAAATAACAATGTACTTGTACACAAACATCGCAGTCACACACGAATTCTTAGAAACAGTGCATCGCTGACTCTCAATTCCAAGAAATGGAAGTCCTACTCTATTTGACCAAAGGGGTGACAGGTGACCAAAACATTGAAATTTAGACCAAACACTGAAAATAACTCTCATTTAAAACACTACAAATATACACCTTCTCTCTAATATACTCGGGGCGGTTGGGTAGCCTAGTGGTTAAAGCGTTGGCTCGTCACGCCGAACCCGGTTCGATTCCCCACATGGACACAATGTGTTAAGCCCATTTCTGGTGTCCCCGCCGTGATATTGCTGGAATATTGCTAAAAGCGGCGTAAAACTAAACTCATTCATTCTCTCTAATATACTCAATAGATAATCTTGACAAGGAAACGTGTACATAAAATGCAGATATCTAACAATACCTGTATTCTAAATATTGGACTCTTCCAAATCTCAGCATGTTTCACTGCACTCACATTTAAATGCAAAATAATGAAAAACCTACACTTTGACAATAATACTAAACATCATTTTCAAATTCTACAGTTGAACAAATACCTGAAAGTGTGTCTCCCAGTAATTTCACATCTGCCCTTTCGCGTGCTATTTCACATCCAAATTTTTACGGCAAGAAAGATGAGGGTGTGAGTTCGAATCCTGGATGGGGCTCAACTAAAAAAAGTACTAGAATTTGTACTTTACTAAGAAAGTGTAATCCCACACATAACATATGTTACATCGACCACTTTCTAAATGGCATTGTGTAATCATAATCTGCAGTCATCACAAAATATGCGTTATATTGTTCTTATCACAAACTCTATCTTGATAACGCTACAGGAGAAACTACATCGAAACGTACCTAAATGCAAACGATGGTGGCCATGAATGTATGTCCTCGTATACCTCAAGCATGGTATATTTAGGACCAATCTATTCCTAAGAGCTTGATGTAAACTATCTGCAGAGCAATGTCACGATATTTACGTGCGCTTCAGGTAATGCTTTTTATTGATATCACTTCACGACGTACGGTCCATGCAGGTAGCAAAAGCACTGTAAGTCCCCATGGTCCTTAGTATGGTTCAGTTGTTGAGGATGTTTCTATATTATATTGTCTTCGTAAATAAAATAGCTTTACATTTACATGCTAGTTTTAGACACAATCTGTGATAGTACAGTTATTTTACAGTCCTTCGATGACTGATTATTTAACAATTAAAATCTATGGTGTTTATGAAACATTTCTCGTCAGTATATGACTAAAATATTGCCGAGGTGAATGAAATTTTAACTCTCTCACTCACTCACTCACTCACTCACTCACGACGTACATTAACAGCGTACAGCTGCTTAAGTAGGGTATATAATGGTAACTATGTCAGTGGTACAAACTATGTTTCCACTTGCCCATAGTTTAGTGTTGCATACATCGAGTTAAACAGTCCAACAGTCCTCCTATCCACAAACAACCACGTACACTTGAATCAGTGACGTAAAACCGAACACGATTAACTGTTTTTGCATCTGGTGCTGATAATTGGTAGACGATAGCCTTCTTCATGAAATAATGACTCTGAAGTAAGCACGCTACAGGGGGATATCGATTGTTCTTTATCATCCGTACCCTTGAAGATCCAGGTTTGAATTTATCTTCAGCAACCCATGCATGTCTTAAGATGCGACTAACAGTTCGGGTCCCAGCTGATAGATCATGATGCCAATCAACGGTTTGTCTGACTCAGACTCAGACTGACCGCCATCACACAGCTGAAAAAGTGCTGAGTGTGCAATTAAGCAACAAACAAAAAACCTTCATCATCCAGTAACATATTATCTTTTAATACCCTTTCCGAGATCTCTATCCTAGACAAGTTGAATGGTAAAACATGTACAAGAAAGTATATGTATTAATTTTAATGGTTACTCCACCCATGGCTCTGAGTGGCAGGAAGAGGAAAGTAGAAGAGTATTTTGCATTTTTGTTATTGCATACTAATATCATCCTAACAGCCATAAAGAAGTGTATCGTGGCGTCTTTTACTTAAATCACCTGAGTTTTGCAAGATCAAGTTTTCGTAAGAAACACTTTAGCATTTTGTATTTTGATGACCTACAGATACCAAGCACTGACGTACAGGGTAGCTTGATACTTGTTACCAAATGTCAAAAAACGTGATCAGACAATAAGGTTTGGCCATATTAAAACCCAAACAGTCCAGATCAAATTTGAAAGCGTTGAACCAGGATTCCACACATAATTGTATAGAAACATATTATCAATATCATGCTTAAAACTGTTCTATATTGTATCAATACATATTATACTATAGGTCCGTGGCCTTTGAGTATTGAACACATGACAGCGTTCATTGGAGAGAAGCCTTGATGAATTTCCGCACACTGACCTATCGGACAGCACATCCACAGGATGATGTACCTCTGACGCCGAACCACTTCCTTCGTGGACAGGCAGGCGGATACTGTGCTCCAGAATCAGTGGATACAAAACCGTTTAACCAAGCAAACGCTGGATAAGGATCCATCAGCTTATACGGCACTTTTGGAGCAGATGGATGAAAGAGTGGATACCCAGTCTTAAAAGAAAAAGGAGTGGCTCACACATCGATCGGATATCAACGGGAATGGCATCAAACTCCACGTGGACATTGGCCTATGGAAAGAATTATTAAGACTCATCCTGGGAAGATTGGTTATACTGTAATGTTACCAGAAGGTTTATGCTGAATGTGAGCTCTTTCACCCATTGAGCGAGACATTAAATATACAAACGTAAAAGTAAGCTCAATGATTGTGTGTATGCACGGTAACCTCCCAAAACCTAGATCGCCTTATCTTAGACAGCTTAAAACAACAACATTTCTGGTTCAGTGCACAACTAATCCTCAAGCTGATACCTATTTCTTATAATGGATCAGGTAGGTAGTTAAGCCCTATATTAGTTAAGTATAACATGGTATAGCACACACATTCCATAGCACCATTTATTATATAACTAGTTAACTGTTAACTGACTGCATAATTACTGACATTAATTTGTATGATTGAAGTTCTTCACATCTAGAGAATCATGTTTTGTTGATCATAAATCATCCATGGTTGTATCTCTTGTAGTAGATATCACGTTTAGTTACTTAATTAGCCCAAGGTAAGTGTTTCAAATTTATTTCATTACATTTTAGACCAGCTCCGCATATGTTAATTCCACTGCAAAACACGCCCTTAAATTGGTGGAATGTATACCTGTGGGAAACTGTCACCCTCAAACATAACGTTATCTGGGCATTACGGTGGTGTATTAAAATACTGCTAATACTATCTATTCAAATATTCAGTGTAATTTGAGGGGTGTATATAATGAAGAATGCACGAAGAGCTGTGAAGTCGTGAAAAAGAATGGACGAGCTCCGAATGCAATCTCCATCTTAATCTTCTTATAACGTCACGAAACTCACAATTATTTTTATTTTGCATTTTAAATCTGACAGTGTACTTATTTTAAATAAAAACAATTAACGTTACTATAGAATTGTATGGAAAACATTTTATCCATGTAACCTGAACGTCCTTGCTCCTGACAAGGTCAGACAGACACTGAAGAGTTCAGTTATGAATTTCAGAAGCCCTAACAGCATGACACGGCAGCCATCCGGTCACAGATGCGGAGCAAGGGCTTTGAAAACTTAAATGATGGGGTTTTGTTAATTGTTTTACTTCGTATCTTCGATGACTTGGCTTAACCGTGAACATCGCCGACTACGATGTGCGTCAGTGAGGAAGGATAACCATATATGGCTGAACAACTTTATTGCAGTGAGAGGGACGTTTTGGGGTAGGTTCTAACACTTACCAAGCAACTGAACCTGGACCGAAACATAGTTCACTGTAATAAAGTTGTCCATCGATCTTAGTCCGTCCTTAGTGCTCCGACTTCTAAATGCCTCTCAAACACCCTGGAACATTTTTCCTGCAGTAATGTCATCTTTTTACGTGGTATTTCCATAAGGAAATTAAACAATTTTTATTCGGGTGTCCAAAATTATGAGACAAATTAGCCGAGTTGGTCTGTCAATTTCACGTGACTGTGCAAACTATGGCTTGGTTGCAATTATTAGATTTTGTGTTAGTGAGCAGTTCATCGGTCTCAAATGAAATCAAACGGACTGTAAATGGCGAATACATCAAGAACTTGGAATACATCCAACCGTATATAACAACTATAATCATAAAGAATATTATTTATTGATAACTCAACGTTATACAATGACAGACACTTTGCTTCAGTTGGATTGCTGAGTAATGTAGGAAATCAATATTCTTTCTTTGGATTAAAGTGACAGTGTCGGCTTGAGGTAGAGAGACACCTTCCCGTAGATGGACAAAAACGTCACATTCTTGAGCTGTGAAACGTCCTCATCTGCCAAATATAGAACCATATGTAAACATTTAGGTATGTAATCACAAGAGGGAGAAACGGGTGGTGAATTCAGGATGATGAGTAATCTTCATGGAACCCAATATCAGAGTATCGAGACAGGGGAGCAAAGTGATCCATCCAGTAGACTAAACATAGTTTGTTTGTTGTTTAACGTCACACCCATCAATGTTCCACCTTTATGACAGCATTCTGTAAATAATCGAGTGTAGTACACAGACCTGAGACGCACTACCCGTGAGGATCCGGGTTAGAACTGATCTTCAGCAACACATGCTCGTCGTAAGAGGCGACTAACGGGATCGAATGGTCATGCTCGCTGACTTGGTTGACACATGTCATCGTATCCCGATTGCGCAGTTCGATGTTCATGATGCTGACAACTAGATTGTCTGGTCCAGACTCGATTATTTACAGACCGCCGCCATATCGCTGGTCTGTTGCTGAGTGCGGCGTTGAACAACAAACCAACCATATTGAGATGCACATCAGGAGCTTGGATACGACATGGATGCGCAATTGGATACGACACGTACATTAACGAACTCTCTGAGCCTCACCAGCTTCGTAAGTCGTAATTTCGTAAGTCATCTCTTACGATAGACGTGGGTTGCTGAAGGTCAGTTCTTACCTTGAGCTCCAGGGATGAATAAACAGGATTATGGGAACAGATTAACATTCAAATCCTAGAAAGATACACTGAGATACACAGCCAGAAAGAGGGTCAGTTGGTTGGAATCAAGAGTGAGTGAGTATGGTTTTACACCGCTTTTAGCAATATTCCAGCAATATCACGGCGGGGGACACCAGAAATTGGCCTCACACATTGTGGGGAATCGAACCCGGGTCTTCAGCGTGACGAGCTAGCGCTTTAACCACTAGGCTTCCCAACCGCCCCTGGAATTAAGAAAACAGATCCGTTGCCCATGTTATATCTTAACAATTGAGTCGTATTTTATTTTCCTGATCTGACCCTGAGTAACCTGTCGTGGTTGCAAATTTTCCTTTTCTTCTTCTTACCAGTCACTGTCTCTGTCTCATCTATGATGGCAATCCGGGTCTTCCGTCTTCCTTGGCAGATCTGATAGAGGATTGGTGACTTTGACTTGAAAGATTCCAGTTCAGCATCTGTCATCTTACTATCAGTTTTCATAATGTACTTGACGTCATCGTCTGGTGTTTCCACGTTTTCATCCATCTGGAAAGATTTCCAGCAGAGGCACACCCAAATAATGACATATCTACTTTTATGTATGACTTTACAAGAATATACAAAACTTGTGTTGATTAGGTAAGACACTCACATCAATGAACCACTGCGCATTGTTTTGTGCTTAATTCGACGATAAAGGAAATGCATGTAAGTTATGCTTATATATTATTAATTCTCGTCACATGAAAAGGATTTTAATATACACTAAACGCCATAAGAAACGGTACCCTCCTATCTTTATGAATTACTTAGAAACCATCAAAGATATGTTAGAAGGTATTAGTTTACAAGAAAGCTTAACAACACAGCTTTATGCAAATCACGAAAAACAAATTCTCAAATGCATTCATATTTAGGTGAAATGCATCGTAATTCAGAAGATTTAAATTGTCCTATTTTCGACCATGCAAACATCAACAAACAATAATGATTTAGATGTTTAAAAGAAAAGCTGAAATAAAATCTGCTTTGGGACAAAGATAAACCATTAAAATTCACCATTTTTCAACTATTAAAACAAGAAACAACTGTTGCAGAGAGTGTAAAATTGTAAAATAATCATTCCTATGATTTCAGTCTTTTAAAACATTTTCTGTTGATTTGCATTTGTGAAAACAAGTAAAACGTGTCTTCGATGTTGTGAAAAAATGTTTAGGAACATCTAACATTATCTTTGTTAACATTTTTGCTTGCAAGTAACATTTTTCCATTTTCTGTTTACACATAGCAATATCAATCGCCAAAACGTAGCAATATTCAAGCAATATTTGCTTCCATTTCACATATAGAATGGTTCTACTCGGTATGAAGAGAACCTAGAATACACGATATGATACACAAGTACGAGAAATATGCCACGATTAATAGCCGAAGCGAGAGAAAGAGCCATTTGGATGTTGCAGATGAGGTCGACATACGAGGGTGTCCCAAAAGTAGTGGGCCTAACTATATTCTCGATCTCCAATGTTAGAAAAGCTTCCATTTTATTTTGAAGGAATTATTAGCAAAGCCATATCCAAAATTTCACATATGTGGGTAATGTGGTTAACGAGATATTAGTCATCACAGCACATTGGGGTATAATATTTCTTTAAAAATTGCAGAAGTGAAAAACGATCTGTCATTTTGTACCTCTTTGATAATGGTATGCCCTCAGATAATATCATATAAAATATGTTTAGTACAGTATTTGATGACTTCCCGTCATAATCAACATTCAAAGATTTTGATTGCTTTATTTACATTTAGACGGGGCTGTTTTTAAAGGACACCCCCATTTTAATCTTTCAAAAACATTGTGTCCAGATATTCAAGCTGGCACAGTTTACAATATATTGAAAGCTGACACTTGTGTGACCTTTCAGTATTTAGTTTGAACCCTTGGCATCATTTTGGAATAAGTGAAGACATTAGAATAAATAATGTCCTTATGATTACGTCATCTGAAAGGGGTTGGGTAGTGTCTCCAAAACAAGCTCTTTCAGTAAACATCATGGGGGGTGTCACTTTAACAAGCGATTGTAGTTTCAAATTGCATTTTTATGCACTTTAATATCTACATTTGATTCTAGAGGTCTTCTCCCTACCTCAAACACACAAAATGTTTCTTGCATATTTTGTTTCCTGAAGTTTGTGATGCATTTATTGCAGATTTTGCGGTTTTTTGGGGTACCAAGATAAAGAGTCAAACAAAATGGGGATCGTGATGCTGGAACATGGCAAAAACAATTTGCTTGAGGTTGACAGATAATGTGTAAAAAAATAAAACATAAAAACAGCTGCATTTGTATCATTTTCAAGGTGAGGCCCACTACTTTTGGGACACCCCTCGTACAATGACGTTGCCAACGCCCTCTGATGCCACCGTATCACGGTTATAAGACTTATTTAGGGCTTCAGACAGACTGGGGTCACCGTAGACAGACCAAGAAGTGGACGTCCACGCATCACAACGCCATCTGAAGATAGGTACCTCTGTTATTAAGGAAGAGGGTAACGTTTCTTTTGGCGTTTAGTGTATATCCTTGATTGTTGCGTGTTAATTTCTAGATGTTGTCACATGCAAAATCAGAATGAATGTTTGGTTCAAACACAGAAACATTTAAAGGCAACTATTCTGCAAATATAAATCTTTAATAACTGCATGAAGCTTGTTGCGATATCAGATCTGTGACTTTTAATATACTACCCATCAAAATTTTAGACTCACTAGTGTAAATGTAGCCACTTAATTCAGTCACTTGTTCTAAACTTGATTTTGCAAAATATTCCATTCAGTTTGCAGGTATTGTTTACACATGAACTAATGTATTGTAAAACAAATTCGTAACGTTGAAAAGATTATTGTCATGAGTTCAGTATTGGCGTATTACAACCAATACCCCAAGTTAGTGGAGAAATTCATCTTCGAGGTAACCATATATATACGTATAACATAGTGAGTGCTTCAGGTGAGTCTAAACTTTTATTTGGTAGTATATGTTAAAATGTTAAAGACACCAGGTGATTTTAATGATTGTGTTATTACTAATTCAAATATAAACATTTACATTTCTATTCCAGATTGTGTTGATTGCTGCTGTGAAGTTCGTGACCGGAAACACCACGCAGACATGGGTGTGGTTTAACCTAAGTCGAGCCGCAGCCAGTTCCTGGAATAACAAACGTTAATGGTGTTAAACTGTTACTGAACCCGTGAACATCCGAGTTTGTATTGGTCTTCAGTAACCCATGCTTGTCGTAAGAGGCGACTAACGGGATCGGGTGGTCAGGCTTGCTGACTTGGTTGACACATGTCATCGTATCCCAATTGCGTAGAACAATGCTCATGTTGTTGGTCACTTGATTGTCTGGTCCAGACTCGATTATTTACAGACCGTCGCCATATAGCTGGAATATTGCTGAGTGCAACGTTAAACAACAAACAAACCAACTAAACTGTTAATGATGTATTTTACATCTAGTACGAGTTTTTCGGCCACACTCAACATTATTCAAGCCGTGTTACGACGGTCTTTATATAAATGATTCTGAACCAAGCAATCAAGTGGTGGACACAGTGTGCGAAATAGTTTCCCAATTGTGCTACACGGGCAGGATTTATGCCTGAAAGTTACTAGCTCACAAAATAATTCACGAAATATCCCAAACTTTGAATGTAGAAACTAAGCAAAAGATTTTTAAAATAGATGAGAATGAGATATTGTCGGCATGATACGGGTTTCATCATTAATATGATAAACATATTTATCAGGCCATAATCTTGCATGATTTAAATGTGTATTATAACTTAACAAGTCAGAGAGAGTGACATATTTACAAAATGACCCCATGAAAAGTCACTATAGCCAGTCGGGCCAATGACTGTGGAGATTTACTGGCCCGATTGGATTTTTACCAGCCACGGGGTAGCGGGCCAGTGGTTATTCGCACACTGGGTGGACACCATGAGTATCGACCTACATATCAGGGATATCATGACATGCGTCTACCAACACAGCACGTCTGACAACCCGATCCCGTTACAAGAATGGATTCCTGTGTCTGTCCTATCAAACAGATATTAAACAATACAATTTTGACATGTACATGTCGTATAGTTGCATAACAGTATGTTTTCTGTATATAATGGGCAATCTTTGTGTTTCGGAGTGCAATAATTCTCTTTTTGAAATATCATATGCAATACACCCACTTCTTGCTTGACTTTGGACCATGCACGTCTGTGTGATGGTCAAGGTTACGGAATGATTTGGGTTTGACATCACTGTGTACAGTAAACCAGTTACATCACGGCGTGGAAGTAAACCCCGAACTGATGCAACTTTCACACGTTAATCACTTGACTAAAGGGGCGATAGCCTAGTGGTTAAAGGTGAGGTGAGGGGAAATTGGGTTTAACGTCGTGCTTGAGAATATTTCGCTCATATGACGACGTACATGCGTGTGTATGTGTATGTGCGGCTGCTTGTTCTAGCCCAGACTTAAGCTGGTTTTATAGTGCTAGCCCACTGAGATACCATGCCGCAGTGAAGCATGAATACCCCACTCAGACACAGTATACTGACTCCGAGCCCACCAGTCCTTTTTGTACCCATTAATGCCGAACGCCAGGCAGGGACCAACAAGTACCATATTTTAACGTCTTTTGGTATGACGCGGTCGGGGATCGAACCCGCGACCTTCCGCTCTCCGGGCGGACGCTCTAACCACTACACCACGGAGGCGGTCTAGTGGTTAAAGCGTTAGCTCGAAGACCCGGGTTCGATTCCCTACATGGGTACAATGTGTGAAGCCCATTTCTGGTGTCCCCGCCGTGATATTGCTGGAATATTGCTAATAGTGGCGTAAAACTCAACTCACTCACTCACTTCACACATGGTACCCATATGGAGAATCAAACCCGGGACTTCGGCGTGACGAGCGAACGCTTTAACCACTAGCTACTCAACCGCCCCGCCAGTGTGGACGTTACTGATAGTTTGTAAGGGTAATAGTAACACTTACCGATCGCATTGTGCGCTGTCGGTTTAACTTTGGACCGTCCTGGTCAGCGCATCAAGTTTGTTAGTAAAGGGAAGATGAATAGGACCCGAAAGTAAGCATGGCAATTCGCGAGGCTTTAGTACTTCCGGTGACAAACAACGTTTCATACCTTTTCGAATGGTCTCACGGTTGTTAGTAAGGAACCGATAATCCTTGCAGGAATAACACAATTCCGATCTAACCATCGCCAAATATGATAACTATTACTACTGTCAACAGCTGTGACAGCCAAGCCAAAAGTCACAGCCCAGCCAAAAGTCATATTTGGCGGTCGCGCAATTTGGAACCAGAACCGGTTCTTGAATACACGCTTGTCACCGGAAATCTGGTACCGGAAGTAAGCTGGGCCCCGTCTTATAGGCCCTATTGGAAAAGATGGCCCGTCAGTGTGTAGAAATCATTTGTAATGTTTGCTATTCAGAGTTACATGGTACAGAGAATGATGTGTATAATTAAAGACCTTAAAAATATAAATGTCTTACGTCTTTATAGTCGTAAACTGAAAATGCGGAGTGAATGTGAACTTTCTTGGGCCTTCTTATCAATGAAAATAACTGAATGTATTCATTGTCTCTACTGAACCTCGCCGACTCTCTGGCTGTGGTAACGTCATCGACTGTGCGTGTCCATCGACGACGCTCGACATCAAGATGAATCTGATGGAAGACATAAACGGATGGAACATAGGATCAGTAACACAAAGAATAACCAGTCAACTTACAGGAACAGATGCATTTCCTATGAAATTCGGAAAAAATTCGGAATTATTTAGATAACTGAATTTAAAGGGGTGTTAAGCATTATATGTGAAAATGACTGGTTCTGACCATGTATTTGGGGGGCAGTCTGCATTTCAGTTTATAATTATGCATGCTAAATAATTTAAACTATTTTACATACATTAATATTTAAATCAAACTTCAATTATGCTCATAGCTAACTAACAGAATGTGAGTAGTATACAGAGACAGTGATTCCTGAGAATGAATCCCGGGAGGTGTCACTAAAAAGTCTTTCTGTATGATATTAAGTTTGAAATAATAAACAAAGAAATCAAGGCCTTATAGGGTTGACTGAGTTTCTTTCAAACATTATTAGAAGCAAACTTTGATAAAACGCAGTATGAATTTGGTTCTGGTGATATTGGTGTATTTGCTTGGTCGATATCAACACATATATAGATTTACTGAAAATATACAATTAAAGGGTATTTCTGTAAAAATTATTTGTGTACTCGAATATTCGAGTAATATTCGAAGGTACTTCGATTGTTCATTTGGAAAGAACAAGATATTTAAGTCGAAATGAGGAATTACTTCAAGATCCTTTTCTCACTGATTCGTCAAGTGTCTACCCAAACACTTTTTGAAAACTCCACTAAGGCTTTATGTGTTGAATCTTGACAAACCATTTCTTAAACAAAAGTCGCAAGACTGTGTTTGAAATATTCGATATATGAACAAAAAAACTCTAAACTGAAATGCCAAAAGTTGTAAAATGCAAAAGTTCATAATGTCCAACCACTCACTCACTCTGAAAATAAGAACGTGAGAATACACCGAATGTTAATTCTTTTATTTATGACAACGTGTAGCATATGAAAGAATCCCTGCAGTTTGCAGTAAATGGAAAATTTAACTGATCAATATTTACGTATTACAAAAAATACAGGAGTCTGAGTTTGGTGTACACAAAACAGAACCATAGATAAAACGTATTGCTGTTAATAAAACCCGAGAATATTGTTTACTTATTTATTTATGAGATCTGTGAAGATCCAAGTTAGAATTGGTCTTCAGTAACCCATGCTTGTCGTAAGAGGCGACTAACGGGATCGGGTGATCAGGCTCGCTGACTTGGTTGACACATGTCATTGTATCCCAATTGCGTAGTTCTATGTTCATGCTACTGATCACTGGATTGTCTGGTCCAGACCCGATTATTTACAGACCGCCGACAAATAGCTTGAATATTGCTGAGTGCGGCGTAAAACTAAACTCACTCACTCACTCACTCTTTCATACTCATCTATTACTTACTCTCTGTTCCGCACCAACATATTGAAGTAGACATGCTGGAAGAATCAGCAGACACAGCAGAATGAGAGTAGCCGTCATGTCTCAAACGTCCAATCTATTATAATAAGCAACTAGTTTTTAGTTAACACAATGCGGTGTATCTCTTAAATACTACATGACCTTCTAAACATGTGGTACACAGTTGCCATGATCAAGGACGTAAACATATTGATGTTCAGTCTGTGTCTCCATGAAACTACATCTCCTGTAGTGATATCATTATAAAACTTCATTAGAATCCTTTATGGAACTATTCAGTGATACGAGATCAAATGTTTCACGTAAGCCACATGATCTCATGTTTTGTTTAATGATTATTTTGGTCAGCTCGGATATGTTTTACAAAGCTTATTATAAATGCAAAATGAACTTATAATTATTTTATCAAATGTCAGGAGAGGAGAATTGCCAGTTTTGACTATCCTCTGTAATAGATTTCCATTTTGTGTAAAGGACACAATAGCTGTGAACATCATCCGATAAAACACCAGGTGAAAAGGGTCTCTCCCAATCCTAGCACCCACCATTCACGCCACTTGGATATAATGTAAGTATCCAGTGCCCTACGCCACACAAATACACGTTAAAGGGGCACTGATCTATGGCGTCAAATCAACAAAAACTGATTAGTAGCCGTGGACTGACTGACTGACTGAGTTTGGTTTTACGCCACTTTTAGCAATATTCCAGCAACTTCGCGGCGGGGGACACCAGAAATGGGCTTCACACATTGTACCGATGTGGGGATTCGAACCCGGGTCTTCGGCGTGACGAGCCCAACGCTTTAACCACTAGGCTACCCCACCGCCCCTAGTAGCCGTGGAGGGGTGGTGGGGTAGCCTAGTAGATAGAGAGTTCGCTCGTCACGCCGAACACCCGGGTTCGATTCCCCACATGGGAGCAATGTGTGAAGCCCATTTAGGTGTCCCTCGTCGTGATATTGATGGAATATTGCTAAAAGCGGCGTAAAACTAAAAGCGCTCTCTCATTAATTGCGATGATGCGATTTGCCGTCGGGTATTCAGCGTGGAAGACAATGTGTATACGCAGACTAAAGCGCGTGTTTTAATTAATGTCTTCAGTCTAAATAAGCAGACAAAGAGACGGCTGATGTCCACCAGATGCCGGTGTCTCAGCACTACATTATCCCAGCAGTGTAAACCTTTTTGGTCTTGTGTTTAGTGCATGGTCAGATGACTGAAATTGATTTGGATCTCATTTCTGTGTATTAAATCTATTAAAGCAGTAAACTACATCACCCCAATTTTTCCCTGGTTGTAATTTACAATTCCACTTAAGTAATTTATAAGTTTATATGTAATTATTAACTTTAGTACACACAAAATGCATATTATTCATGCAACTTATTGTGTATGCAAAAATGAAGTTCCGTTTGTATTCCCAAAATATATACACAAAGAACTTAATTATGCACCCACTGTTTAATGTTTAATTTATTGGTGAACGTGAACATTCAAAATGACATTTTGCGTGTCTTACACGAGTAAGGTCAATACCGAGTGTAACCTCCATGTGACTGTATGACAGCCAGCACGCTTCTCCTGTCAGCCTCCTGATCCTCTGAAGGGGAAATCTACGCCATTCCTCGTGTAAAGCAGCCTCCAATTGGGCCAGGTTCTGTACATGAGGATCCCCTTGTTGCACACGACGACCAAATCATGTCCCAGATATGCTCCATAGGGTTAAGATCGGGGCTCATTCAATCGTGAGATATGTCAGGGGATGCTTAACTAAGTTCTTTTTGTATAGCAGCGACCTTTTCAGTTTTTCAGGCAACCAAACCGCATACAATACAGCTATTACTACTCCCTTGTTGCCATCCATGTTTGGTGGTATAAACCTACACCTGTTTATTTGTCGGCACTCACTTGGTGCTCAATTAATGAATTTACCTAATTCAATCATTTTATTAAAGAACCGTATACATAAAAAAACTGAACTATACTCCTGCCAATAATGGTTGTCACCCCCTTCATTTTTTTCAATTGAGAGGGGTGTGGGGAGGTTATGTGGGGACACATTATTATTGTAGGAGTATAGTTATGTGACAAGTTAGAGAACTCCAAACACATTATATTGTATTTTTACAGTCATGTACATATTAGTTTTAAGTCACTTAACAATTATATGGACAGTTAAAGATTGACAGTTACTTTCAGTGTTAGAGGTATATCATTTCGTGTGTGTAATAATGGTTTGTTTTTTCTAGCAACAGGTCTGGTCATTTTGAAACTAACTATGCTCGTCTATTATTAGCTATAGTCAGTATCGTTCTAGTTTAATTAAGGGTGGTCAGCATTCGTAACTACTCGTGTCATTCCGGCAAGCCGGATGGCGTCTCGTACCCCTCTCGTGGCCTTGTTTACGACTGGGCCCTGTCTAAGCGCAAACGGGCATGGAGATGAAAATAGTCTCGCACTATTACCAAGGAAAGATAACTCTGGATTTCCAAACATGGCTCCTTGAATATCCTATATCCCGTGGGCAAAACAGTAATACAGGCATCCCCCTATGTAAATATGTTTCAGTGTTTAAAGTTTTTGGTCCTTTAGCTCAAAGTTTATGTTTAAATTGTGCTTTGCATAGTTTAGCGAAGTTTTAAACTTCAACGGTGCCGCCATTTCTATGCTTCGAAATGCGTTTTACTACGCGCGATTTGATTGGCAAAAATGGCGTACGATAGGGTTACGAGTCTTCTTGTAGGTCACGGAAAGAGGCGAGTAGTTACGAATGGGGTGGTCAGGTAGGGTCCCCAGTTACCGAGACTCATCGCATTATCATGTGCCCTGATTTAATCAAATCTGATTAAATGATTCGAACTTTTGCCCTCTTTCCTAATTCAAATCTGCACTTGACATTAACTCAGTAAGACATTTAATTTGTCCTGTTTAGAATCATTAGGATACCTTCCAGGTCAGGTTAAGCTGCTATATCAGTTAATGAGTATGTATACCTTTAATGCAGTATTCTAATATTTGTGTGTCAATAAAAACTTGTGAACATATAAACAGTAATTAGTGGGTTAATATACAGGTTTAATTTACTGCAGGTTTAAGTTACTAATTGTTAATATTTAAAGGCACAATGTCACACATTTTCGAGAATATTTGGAGCTATATTTTAAATATTGGGGCTCATGCACTCACTTTAGCTTCCTATCGATGCAATAAAAGACTTGTTATCCCGTACGACTTGCCTGAAATCGATATTTGAAACTTCGAGACGAACAGCTTCCAAACAGATAGCACTTGCCATATATGGAATGTAAACGATTGATCCGTACATCAGAAATTGTCGCACGTGGTGTTGTCGGTTTTTGCCGAACTGGTCTCAATCATAAGTTGCCTTATAGGATATTTATAAAGAGCGCTCCAAGGTCTAGGGACATAACTCTATGGAGTTCGCTTGAAATAATGTTCGGTCGGCAGAGGGAGCAAAAGTCGATTGAATGCAACGTTGCATTAATTCACTCGAACGTTTTGGTTTAATATTGTAATCTAAATAAGTAATTTTTTAAATAAATAATATGGTATCTTCCCTGAGGGCTGATAGAATTGTCGAGAGAAATGTATTATGTATGTGGTGTGACACTGTGCCTTTAATAATTACTTTGGATTTATATAGCGCGTGTATCCAGTGATCACTGCTCAAAAGCGCTTCTGGAGTTCTACATTGACTGGAGTCTATTCAAACACAACTGTGGTGAACATACATGTCTTGATATGTTTCTGGAAAGTGGCAACATCTTGAATGTTTCTCATGTCAGGGGAAGACTGTTCCACAGATTAGGTGCAGCTGCACCTAATGATAATAATAAACCAGTCAGGTTTTAGTGAATACCAACTGATAGAATTCAGTGTGCAAGTGTCAAAATAACTTAATTCATTAAAGTGTTTCTAGTTTCCCTATGAGTGAATGGTTGCATAGACGTTTGATTGATTGAATTTATGAATGAGAGAAGGGATACCGTATATGCGAATGCAAGTATTATCTTAGCTTGAGCTATTTGATTATATTCTTGGTTTCGTAATGATAAGAGATTAGTTATCGTTACTTGTATATAGTATGGCGTTGTACTTAATGAATCATGTATTGTTTCAGGTTGTACATGTTTTTACACATGGAATGCACGTTCCTTCACCCCTTAACCATTGTTCCAGATCAGTGTCCCTTTAAACAACTACAGCTATTGACAAGATCATTTTTCGAGGTTACAAACATCAGCATGTTTATTATCGGAGTCTACCGTGTATTTGAACTATCTGGTGTTGGTATAAAATGTAACCATATACCTGGGATATAATTATTGCAGGGTGATCACTTGACGGACAACACCTGCCAGTTGTGTAAAGAGACATTCTGGAACAATATCCACCCCATTAAAGTGACAAATGTGCTGACAAAGTTTTTGATGATGTGGCGGTCGAAGCAGTCGCCATGATGAGGCTTGCAAGAATGTTGTGTGGGCACTTCTGGGAGCGAGAGATTTGGCGACATGTTGAGGCGTAACATACAATACGATACCATTGGGAATAAATGTGTCTGATACTGTTGGGAATGAAGATATATGATGTCACTGGAGATGTAAGGTTCTGATACTATTGGGGATAAAGGAGTCTACTACTTCTGGGGTTAATGGGTTCTGAAACTTTTGGGGATGAAGGTTTCTGATACTGTTTGGGATAAATATTTATGATACTATTGTCGATAAAGGGTTCTGATTCTATTGTCGACAAAGGGTTCTGATACTATTGGGGATAAATGTTTCTGATACTTTTGGAGATAAAGAGTTCTGATACCATTTGAAATAAAGGGTTCTGATCCTATTGGAGATAAAGGGCCCGTTCTGATACTATTGGGGATAAAGGGGTCTGATTCTATTGGAGATAAATGGTTCTGATACTATTGGGGATAAAGGGTTCTGATACTTTTGAAGATAAAGGGTTCTGATACTATTGGAGATAAAGGGTTCTGATACTATTGGGGATAAAGGGTTCTGATCCTATTGGAGATAAAGGGCCCGTTCTGATACTATTGGGGATAAACGGGTCTGATTCTATTGGAGATAAAGGGTTCTGATACTATTGGGGATAAAAGGTTCTGATACTATTGGGGATAAAGGGTTTTGATCCTATTGGAGATAAAGGGCCCGTTCTGATACTATTGGGGATAAACGGGTCTGGTTCTATTGGAGATAAAGGGTTCTGATACTATTGGGGATAAAAGGTTCTGATACTTTTGGAGATAAAGAGTGCTGATACTATTGGAGATAAAGGGTTCTGATACTATTGGGGATAAAGGGTTCTGACCCTATTGGAGATAAAGGGTTCTGATACTATTGGAGATAAAGGGTTCTGATACTTTTGGAGATAAAGGGTTCTGATACTATTGGAGATAAAGGGTTCTGATACTATTGGGGATAAAGGGTTCTGATCCTATTGGAGATAGAGGGCCCGTTCTGATACTATTGGGGATAAACGGGTCTGATTCTATTGGGGATAAAGGGTTTTGATCCTATTGGAGATAAAGGGCCCGTTTTGATACTATTGGGGATAAACGGGTCTGGTTCTATTGGAGATAAAGGGTTCTGATACTATTGGGGATAAAAGGTTCTGATACTTTTGGAGATAAAGAGTTCTGATACTATTAGAGATAAAGGGTTCTGATACTATTGGGGATAAAAGGTTCTGATACTTTTGGAGATAAAGGGTTCTGATGCTATTGGAGATAAAGGGTTCTGATACTATTGGGGATAAAGGCTTCTTATGCTATGGGGGATAAAGTCTTCTTATACTATGGGGGATAAAGGCTTCTGATGCTATTGGGGATAAAGGGTTCGATAATATTGAGGAAAGATGGTTCTGATACTATTTGGGATAAAGGCTTCTTATACTATGGGGGATAAAGGCTTCTTATACTATGGGGGATACAGGCTTCTGATGCTATAGGCTTAAAGGGTTCTGATACCATTTTGGATAAAAGGTCCTGATTCGTATAGGGCTAAAGGGTTCTGATACTAATAGAGAAATTATACCTAATACTATAGTTGTGAATAGAATATATACAATTAGGGATAAATCCTTCTGATAGGTCAAGAGATAAATACGGACATGACACAATTGAGCACCCCGTTATACATTTATTCTTTGTGATACAGGTATCGATGATGGTATGTCAATGATGCCATTGAGTTCCTTGAGAGGCATTTTAGAAGTTGTATAGATGAAGGAAACCAAGTATTAACACCGTTATCAAACAAGTGATCGATACAGCGTATCACTTGCTTGATAACGGTGTTAGTATATACTACGAAACGTCGCACTCATTGCAATAAAGAAGTTGACTATCCATAAAACTTGGTTTTCCTTCAATGATGCCATTGTTCAGCAGCACATTTCAGGAAATGAAAAAACAAACAAGGTTCAGTTTGTCAAAACGCTGCCCACATGCATGTGAAGCATGCTACCCACTCATGCCCATCCTCGATATGATCACTCTCCACTATACCCTGGATGCATCCACGGCTTGGTCCGATGATTTTATGACCTCCCTTGGCTAGCTTTTTATCCAGTCAGGAGTCTACGCTGGGAAGTTGAGCGAACCAATCACAACTCACTTTCGCTTCTTAAATTATCTAACCGTTTAAACTTGGCAACACAATTGATGCAGAGGGTACTCTGAAAGATGTGGAAGGAGTTCTTTTAATATATTTTTTGAAAGTTTCAGATCTGTCAATTTGTCTGTATTGTTTCCCCAAAAATCTGAGTGGTACTGCGAACAAACTTTCGCGACTGCGACCGCTAACTTTGTTGACACTGGCAAGCTGTCGACACTGGCAAGCTCGTGTAACGGCGGCTTAGCTGATTGGATACTGTGAGAATGTGGAGCCAGCCAAGGGAGGTAATAAAATCATCGGGCCAAGCCGTGGATGCATCCAGGGTATAGTGGAGAGTAATCGTAACGTATACCCTGGAGATTATCGAGGATGACTCATGTCTTGAAAAGCAGTATCTCTGACTTGCCATGTAACTGTGAAAAACTTGTGAATATACCATCCGATTCATCCATACACGAACAATTAACATGGCTTGTAGAAGACGTTCAGTGGGACTGGAATGGCAGATGGTGGGTATGCATGTAACTGGTATGCCATTCAAGGCCATGGTCGGTGGTGGTAGCCTAGTGGTTAAAGCGTTCGCTCGTCACGCTGAAGACCCGGGTTCGATTCCTCACATGGGTGCAGTGTGTGAGGCCCATTGTTGGTGTCCCCCGCCGTGATATTGCTGGAATATTGCTAAAGGCGGCGTAAAAGTAAAATCACTCACTCACCCATTCACGGCCATCAGGCGTCAGCTTGGTTTCTACCACCCTGTCATCAGTAGACCGATGCTTACAAATAGGTGAGGTAAGGTGAAATTGGGTATAACGTCGTGCTTGAGAATATTTCGCTCATATGACGACGTGCATGCGTGTGTATGGATATGTGCGGCTGCTTGTACTAGCCCAGACTGAACCTGGCTTTATAGTGCTAGCCCACTGAGATACCATGCCACAGTGAAGCATGAATACCCCACTCAGACACATTATACTGACACCGAGCCGACCAGTCCTTTTTTGTACCATTAATGCCGAGCGCCAGGCAGGGACCAACAAGTACCATATTTTAACGTCTTTTGGTATGACGCGGTCGGGGATCGAACCCGGGCGGACGCTCTAACCAATACACCACGGAGGCGGTCCGTTTACAAACAGGCGTCAAGGACCAAGGGTTGACCAAGGCCAGTGTGCAACCCGGGATGACCACTCCAGCGTAAGACTGCAATCTGGTCCGTTACGTTAGGCGTGAACTACGTCACTAGCACTTGTTTGAAGCAACTACTAGTGGTGGGGGCGCAGTTATGGTGTGTGATGGTGTGTTATGATGTGCCTCCCATGATTGTAAGATGACGCTGGTCACTGACTGTACGGGGATATCTCACTGACCAGCGCTAGACTGCGGACATTCTTGATCAAATTGTTGTGCATCATTTTGATAACCGCACCCATTTTTGATAACCACCCGCCCCATATTCATGGACGTCAACGTTAGGCCAGATCGATCCCGTGCTGTAGGGGAGTTGCATTAACGGAAGCAGATTTCACTATTTCCCATGTCACTGAAATGCCAAACTTGGGCTGGGCAATAGCTCCAGTTAATGCAGCTTCGAAACAAATTCATACCACATGTATACCAATGTCAACGTTTCTGAGCAGGGTCGAGTATCAAAATAAATTGACTCATATGCAGGAATCAGAATTTATTCATGAATGAAATTGTACAGGTCTCATTCAATATGTAATAATTGTCCAGTGAGTTAAACCCTTACACCTTTAACAGATTGTTTTAAGGGTATTTTAGTTTCTCTCTCAGTGTATAGAAGAGTGCTCTGACTGATTAGACCGACAGTGTGGGCTTCAGATAGACTGTCACTTTGTTGTTGATGGACATAAACGTCACAGCGTACAGGTTTGTAACGTCCGCACCTTCAAAACATAAATCATCACATTTAAAAACATATTTAGATATGGAGTGAGTGGGTGGTCGGAGCGGGGGTCACCAGAAATAGGCTTCACGCATTGAGCCCTGGAAATCGACCTGGGGTGTTGTTCGTGACCAGCGAACGTTTAACCATTAGGTTACCTCAACGCCCATGCCACCTATTTGGACCCCATTAGGAGAGAGAGGAGAGAGAGATAGACAGATAGAGAGAGGCACAGATAGAGATAGAGAGACAGATAGAGAGACACAGAGAGGGAAATAAATAGATAGATAGAGAGAGAGACACAGAGAGGGAGAGAGATAGACAGATAGAGAGAAACACAGAGAGGGAGAGAGATAGACAGATAGAGAGACACAGAGAGGAAGAGAGATAGACAGATAGAGAGAGACAGAGGGAGAGAGAGAAAGAGAGATGGGGAGGGAAGGATGTAGAGGGTGATGACAAGTAGCGCCATGGATTCACACAAATACGTCCCTACAGGTGTTCCCGTGGGATCTGACTAACATACGTCACTACAGGTATCCCTATGGGATCAGGAAAGCATACGTCCATACAGATGTTCACGTGGGATCTGACTAACATACGTCCCTACAGGTGATGCCATTGGTTCAGACTAGCATACGTCCATACATGTGACCCCGTGGGTTCAGACTAGCACATATCCGCACAGGTGTTCACGTTGGTTCAGACTAGCACACGTCCGTACAGGTGTTCACGTTGGTTCAGACTAGCACATGTCCGTACAGGTGTTTACGTTGGTTCAGACTAGCACACGTCCGTACAGGTGTTCACGTTGGTTCAGACTATCACACGTCCGTACAGGTGTTTACGTTGGTTCAGACTAGCACACGTCCGTACAGGTGTTCACGTGGGATCAGACTAACATACAGAGAAGCAGAGAGCGAGAGAGATAGACATATATAGAGACAGAGACCTGGAGGGAGAGAGAGAAAGTGAGATGGGGAGGGAAGGATGTAGAAGGTAATAACACATCAGACTAGCATACGTCCCTACAAGTAGTCTCATGGGTTCACACAAGCATACGTCCCTACAGGGATCCGTGGGATCAGACTAGCATACGTTCCTACAGGGACCCTTGGGATCAGACTAGCATACCTCCCTACAGGTGATGCCATTGGATCAGACTAACATACGTCCCTACAGGTAGCCCCGTGGGGTCAGACCAGCATACGTCCCTACAGGTAGCCCCGTGGGATCAGACTAGCATATGCCCCTACAGGTAGCCCCGTGGGATCAGACTAGCATACGTCCCTATAGGTAGTCCCGTGGGATCAGATTAGCATACGTCCCTACAGGTGATGCCATTGGATCAGACTAACATACGTCCCTACAGGTAGCCCTGTGGGGTCAGACCAGCATACGTCCCTACAGGTAGCCCCGTGGGATCAGACTAGCATATGCCCCTACAGGTAGCCCCGTGGGATCAGACTAGCATACGTCCCTATAGGTAGTCCCGTGGGATCAGATTAGCATACGTCCCTACAGGTAGCCCTATGGGATCAGACTAGCATACGTTCCTACAGGTAGCCCTGTGGGATCAGACTAGCATACGTTCCAACAGGTAGCCCCGTGGGATCAGACTAGCATACGTCCCTACAGGTAGCCCCGTGGGATCAGACTAGCATATGTCCCTACAGGTAGCCCCGTGGGATCAGACTAGCATACGTCCCTACAGGTAGCCCCGTGGGATCAGATTAGCATACGTCCCTACAGGTAGCCCCGTGGGATCAGACTAGCATATGCCCCTACAGGTAGCCCCGTGGGATCAGACTAGCATACGTCCCTACAGGTAGCCCTATGGGATCAGACTAGCATACGTCCCTACAGGTAGCCCCGTGGGATCAGACTAGCATATGCTCCTACAGATAGCCCTATGGGATTAGATTAGCATACGGCCATAGAGGTGATGCCATTGGATCAGACTAGCATCATAATACGTCCCTACAGGTAGCCCTATGGGATCAGACTAGCATACGTCCCTACAGGTAGCCCTATGGGATCAGACTAGCATACGTCCCTACAGGTAGCCCCGTGGGATGAGACTAGCATACGTCCCTACAGGTAGCCCCGTGGGATCAGACTAGCATACGTCCCTACAGGTAGCCCCGTGGGATCAGACTTGCATACGTCCCTACAGGTAGCCCCGTGGGATCAGACTAGCATACGTCCCTACAGGTAGCCCCGTGGGATCAGACTAGCATACGTCCCTACAGGTAGCCCTATGGGATCAGACTAGCATACGTCCCTACAGGTAGCCTGTGGGATCAGACTAGCATACAAGTAGCCCCGGGTGCAGGTAAAACTGAGGTCTGCATAACAGATCTGTGAATTCCAGTTGTCATGACCTGTGATACATGTTGACAGCATCACTGGACATAGTTTGCTTAGAAAAGTTCTGGTTTTGCTGACCTGAGGTTTTCTGTAACAGTTCTATGTTTCTATATATTTTGTACGTGTGTTCTTACAGAGCTGTTGTTTCCAATATTACAACAATGCATATTGTCTTATTTGTCTACCGCCTTTACAAAGAACACCCGGTGCCGAATGTGATGAAATAAATAAATCAAAATAGCAAAGCTCATTATTTTCAATTCTGGAAGATTTTTTCAAAACATTATGATATTTCTCACCAGTTTCCAATTTTGTCGTAGCGTCGATTATGACAGGGTACTCGTTGCGTCGTCCCTCGTTCTGTTTGCAGTGCCGGTAGAGGGCAGGTGAGGTCAGTTCGAAAGCAATCATTTCATGAACTGTCATCTTATCATCTGACTTCATTATGTATTTGTCGGCATTATCTGGGGTTCTTACGTAGTTTGACTCCTAAAACAATAAACAATGGCAATCTGTGGACAATCACGAAAACAATAAACACGTCTCTTTACAAAATGGTTCTCAGCTTTCCAGGTTAGATTGTTGCATGTGCCTCTACGTAATGATTCCAGGTTCAAGTATTCAACTTTTATTGTAATAGCCTCTATCATCAAAACGGAACAGTCAATGTATTATTGTAAATATGTTATGTCTTTCTAAAGAAATGTCACACTTCGAGCACATGTTGATGGTATGGATACCACGCACAGTCGATGGTATGGACATCGTGCACAGTTGATGGTATGGACATCATGCACAGTTGATGGTATGGACATCATGCATACTTGATGGTAAGGACATCATGCATACTTGATGGTATGGACATCATGCATACTTGATGGTATGGACATCATGCACAGTTGATGGTATGGACATCATGCAAACTTGGTGGTATGGACATCATGTACAGTTGATGGTATGGACATCATGTGCAGTTGATGGTATGAACATCATGCACAGTTGATGGTATGGACATCATGTACAGTTGATGGTATAGACATCATGCATACTTGATGGTATGGACATCATGTACAGTTGATGGTATAGACATCCTGCACAGTTGATGGTATGGACATCATGCATACTTGATGGTATGGACATCATGTACAGTTGATGGTATGGACATCATGTACAGTTGATGGTGTGGACATCATTAATACTTGATGGTATGGACATCATGCACAGTTGATGGTATGGACATCATGTACAGTTGATGGTATGGACATCATGCACAGTTGATGGTATGGACATCATGCACAGTTGATGGTATGGACATCATGTATGGAGTTGATGGTATGGACATCATGATGGTACATCATGATGATGTATGGACATCATGCACAGTTGATGGTATGGACATCATGTACAGTTGATGGTATGGGCATCATGCACAGTTGATGATATGGACATCATGCACAGTTGATGGTATGGACATCATGTACAGTTGATGGTATGGATATCATGCATACTTGATGGTATGGACATCATGTACAGTGGATGGTATGGACATCATGTACAGTTGATGGTATGGACATCATGTACAGTTGATGGTATGGACATCATGCACAATTGATGGTATGGACATCATGCACAGTTGATGGTATGGATATCATGCACAGTTGATGGTATGGACATCATGCACAGTTGATGGTATGGACATCCTGCACAGTTGATGGTATGGACATCATGTACAGTTGATGGTATGGACATCATGCACAGTTGATGGTATAGATATCATGTGCAGTTGATGGTATGGACATCATGCACAGTTGATGGTATGGACATCATGCACAGTTGATGGTATGGACATCATGTACAGTTGATGGTATGGACATCATGCACAGTTGATGGTATGGACATCATGTACAGTTGATGGTATGGATATCATGTGCAGTTGATGTCATGGACATCATGCACAGTTGATGGTATGGACATCATGCACAGTTGATGGTATGGACATCATGTACAGTTGATGGTATGGACATCATGTACAGTTGATGGTATGGACATCATGTACAGTTGATGGTATGGACATCATGCACAGTTGATGGTATGGACATCATACACACTGGATGGTATGGACATCATGTACAGTTGTTAGTATTTGGCCACTTATATACCGCTGATACGATATAAACGCATACAACATGATAGGCATTATTGCCCGGATACCCTCTGAGGTTAATACACTATACGCCAAAAGAAAAGTTACCCTCCTGCCTCAGAGACGGAGGTACCTATCTTCAGCTGGCGTTGTGATGCGTGGACGTCCACTTCTTGGTCTGTCTACGGTGACCCCAGTCTGACTGAGGCCCTGAATAAGTCTCATAACCGTGATACGGTGGCAGCAGAGGGCGTTGGCAACAGCATTGTACGTCGACCTCATCTGCACCATCCCAACGTGACTCTTTCTCTCTCTTCAGCTGTTAATCCTGGCATATTTCTCGTCTTGTGTATCATATCATGTATTCCAGGCTCTCTTCATACCCTACAGCATCATTCCACATGTGAAATGGAAGCAAATACCGCTTGAATATTGCTACGTTTTGGAGATTGATATTGCTATATGTACACAGAAACTGGAAAATGTTACTTTGCAAGCAAAAATGTTAACAAAGATAATTTTAGATGTTCCAAAATACTTTTCACAATTCCAAAGACACGTTTTACTTGTTTTCACTAATGCAAATCAGCAGAAAATGTTTTAAAAGACTGAAGTCATAGGAATTATTATTTTACAATTTTACACACTCTACAACAGTTGTTTCTTGTTTTAATACATGAAAAATTGTGACTTTAAATGGTTTATCTTTGTCTCAAAGCAGAATTATATTTAAACCTTTCTTTTGGACATCTAAATCACTATTGTTGGTTTATTTCGGCATGGACAAAAATAGGACAATTTAACTCATCTGAAAGGATGCATTTTACCCAAATATGAATGCATTTGAGATTTTGTTTTCGTGATTTGCATAAAGCTGTTCTGTTAAGCTTTCTTGTAAACTAATACCTTCTAACATACCTTTGATAGTTTTTCAGTAATTCATAAAGGTAGGAGGGTAACGTTTCTTTTGGCGTGTAGTGTAGACACACGACTTATACCTCAGGGTACCATTTTCTGCTTGCCTAAGGTGAGACCACATAAATGCTTTGTTGTGGGGCAGGACAGAAGTCCTAGAAATTCTCAGGAATCAAGCTGGCAAACACGGTCATCCACCCAAGGATTCTCCGTTACCAACGTTGCTTAACTTCACCTGATTTGTGAGCTGGGCTCTATGCACAAGACCCCACACCACACAAATGATGGTATAAATATCATGCACATTTGATGGTATGAATATCTTTCACGGTTGAAAGTACTGATACATTTGTTCTGGGGTCAAGTACAAGGGCATAGCCTCTGTTCTCATATTATGAAAATTTGCTTTGCATATATATGTACTTACATCTCTGCTAGATATAGATTCAACCGCTTGCTTGAAGTCTGATGAAGAGATGTTGAACACCACACATGCTTTAGATCTATTTATCCTAACTCCAGCCGCAGCCATCCCCTGGAATTACCAAACACATGTTACATTCAAACCTAGAATCCCACGTCAACTGGAGAAAAGCGGAGGATACCTTGATACAATTTGTGCAGAATCACGACGTCAAAAGGAGATCGTTTACTGCATTTCTCATTGTGGGTCCTTTCTATTTATAAGCAATAACACATTGAAAGGAATGTTTGGTAATATATGGATATAATATGGGATGCGATCTGATAGTGGATATTGGGTATCTCGGAAAATAAGTGGAAACACGTACGGTTTGAAAATCGTAAGCAGAAAATACGTTTGTGACGTCAGACATTCTCAAATTATAGTTATTTATGGTTAGCGTGATGAATTCCGTGGCTTCGTTGAACTTAGCTGACTCCTCGAATATGACATTTGGATCCACCCGCCGAAACCATGTGTGCCGCTCTTCACTTTTACCAAGCTGGAAAAGAATTTTTAACTGGCAATCATCAACATTTAAGAAATTACGAAATGCTTATGGAATGACATGTGTTCTTCCAACTTGGAAGTTGGGTGGATACAGGTGCAGTTAAACGCCGTTCATAACATCGTTTCAAATAGGAGGATATGACAAAGATTTGTGAAGTCTGTAAAAGCGGCATGTTGTTAAGAGATCAATTGTAAGACTAATAAAAGGTTAAGAACTTACTCCTTTTGGTTGACGCTTTTGTTCCTGTGGCTGGCGTCGTTTAAATCCAGCTGCCATCCAACCTCGTCTAGTTCTTGTTGCAGGAAGTTCGCCTTTGATGCTGTCTTTCCTGTTGCAGGACGTTTACTCTTTGGTGGCCCCTTTCCTGTTACAGGACCTTTGTCCGTTGATGGTGTCTTTCCTGTTACAGAAGCTTTGCTCTGCCCTGGTCTCTTTCCTCTTGCAGAACCTTTGCTCTGCCCTCGTCTCTCTCCTGTTACAGAACCTTTGCCCTGCCCTGGTCTCTCTCCTGTTACAGAACCTTTGCTCTGCCCTCGTCTCTCTCCTTTTACAGAACCTTTGCCCTGCCCTCGTCTCTTTCCTGTTGCAGAACCTTTGCCTTGCCCTGGTCCTGTTGCAGAACCTTTGCCTTGCCATGGTCCTGTTGCAGAACCTTTGCCCTGCCCTGTCTGCAGAACCTTTGCCTTGCTGTGGTCCTGTTGCAGAACCTTTGCTCTGCCCTCGCCATGGTCCTGTTGCAGAACCTTTGCCCTGCCCTGGTCCTGTTGCAGAACCTTTGCCCTGCCCTCACCTCTGTCCTGTTGCAGAACCTTTGCCTTGCCCTGGCCCTGTTGCAGAACCTTTGCTCTGCCCTCGTCTCTGTCCTGTTGCAGAACCTTTGCCTTGCCCTGGTCCTGTTGCAGAACCTTTGCTCTGCCCTCGTCTCTGTCCTGTTGCAGAACCTTTGCCCTGCCCTGGTCCTGTTGCAGAACCTTTGCCCTGCCCTCGTCTCTGTCCTGTTACAGAACCTTTGCCCTGCCCTGGTCCTGTTGCAGAACCTTTGCTCTGCCCTCGTCTCTGTCCTGTTGCAGAAGCTTTGCTCTGCCCTGGTCTCTTTCGTGTTGCAGACCCTTTGCTCTGCCCTCGTCTCTCTCCTTTTGCAGAACCTTTGCCCTGCCCTCGTCTCTTTCCTCTTGCAGAACCTTTGCTCTGCCCTCGTCTCTCTCCTGTTACAGAACCTTTGCCCTGCCCTGGTCTCTCTCCTGTTACAGAACCTTTGCTCTGCCCTCGTCTCTCTCCTTTTACAGAACCTTTGCCCCGCCCTGGTCTCTTTCCTGTTACAGAACCTTTGCTCTGCTCTCGTCTCTCTCTGGTTGCAGAACCTTTGCCTTGCCCTGGCCCTGTTGCAGAACCTTTGCTCTGCCCTCGTCTCTGTCCTGTTGCAGAACATTTGCCCTGCCCTGGTCCTGTTGCAGAACCTTTGCCCTGCCCTCGTCTCTGTCCTGTTACAGAACCTTTACCTTGCCCTGGCCCTGTTGCAGAACCTTTGCCTTGCCCTGGCCCTGTTGCAGAACCTTTGCTCTGCCCTCGTCTCTGTCCTGTTGCAGAACCTTTGCCTTGCCCTGGTCCTGTTGCAGAACCTTTGCCTTGCCCTGGCCCTGTTGCAGAACCTTTGCTCTGCCCTCGTCTCTGTCCTGTTGCAGAACCTTTGCCTTGCCCTGGTCCTGTTGCAGAACCTTTGCCTTGCCCTGGTCCTGTTGCAGAACCTTTGCCTTGCCCTGGCCCTGTTGCAGAACCTTTGCTCTGCCCTCGTCTCTGTCCTGTTGCAGAACCTTTGCCTTGCCCTGGTCCTGTTGCAGAACCTTTGCCTTGCCATGGTCCTGTTGCAGAACCTTTGCCTTGCCATGGTCCTGTTGCAGAACCTTTGCTCTTCCCTGGTATCTTTCCTGTTGCATGACCTTTGCCCGTTGATGGTCTCTTTTCTGTTGTTCTTTGGAAGTTTCTGCTGCTTGTTACATTTAACGATTTTCTGAGTACTGCTTTGCGCACGCTCACATTCGTTTCTTGACCAGGAAGGTTATCAGGCTCCGTATTCCCTTTAGTGCCCTCTTCCAAGCCGCTTACTTTCTGTTGACCACCCGTAACTCCACAACACGAATGCATACATGCTAGAAAGGTGATGGCAGTCAGTAGAACAACTGAGACCTTCATGTTTTCCACCAGCGTCCTGTAACTCTGTGTCAACGTGGCAGCCGGAATCCTAACTTATGATGATACACCTGTTATATAAACCAAACTATGTGGTCACATTGTGGAGGTTGATTGATGTTTCACTCTATACTGTCAACGTGTAAAGATTTCTCATCTCATATTTCAGAGATCGCGTCAGTGATGTAATATCCCATCAATGATGCTTCTGTCAAGTATCAAATGGTATAGAAAACATTGAAAAGTACAACCATGTGTATGTGTGCATGTGTGAGCAAGTCGTGCAATTTAAGACATTGTCTATTTCTGTGTACGAAAAGTAGGTTTGATAATGTGACATCATATATGTTTTAACCCTGTCTTGACCCCAGTTGAATGGATGTTTCTAAGATACAAATTGTAATAAGTGTGCAGATAAAATACTCCAGGCACAGTAGCCAATGGGTTTTTTTATTAAATGGCAAATTATTATAATATTAGTTTTGGGGGTTTTGTTTCAGATTTAAATGATACATGCAGCAGAGAGGATTTGGGTACCGTCAGACTGGTTAAGCTCATCATCAGATAAGGGTCCCTGTCCCCTTTACCAGCAGTCGAATTGGCTTCTCCACGGGAGCACTGCCTTGTCGAACCATAGAATTTTCCTGAGAATATGCAGACATTGCTCCCTATGCGTACATTGCTTCCTATCTGCATTACCTTGAGTGTCAGAGGACCTGTGGTCCTGGCAACAGTGACTCTCCCAGTGACTGTAAACATACTGACAGGTACCAAACCTGTGACACCGAGAACGATTGGGAGACGGTACTTAGGATACAAGTAAACCAGTAAGTGTTGATGCTTTTGTTAAGTTTCAAACTGGTCTGTCTACGGTGACCCCAATCTGTCTGTAGCGATGAATAAGTCTTATAACCGTGATACGGTGGCATCAGAGGGCGTTGGCAGCAGCATTGCACGTCGACCCCATCTGCACCATCTCAATGGCTCTTTCTATCTCTTCAACTGTTAATCGTGGCATATTTCTCGTTCTTGTGTATCATATCATGCATTCTAGGCTCTCTTTATGCCGTATAGAATCATTTTAGACGTGAAATTGGTGCAAATACTGTTTGAATATTGCTGCGTTTTGGAGATTGATATTGCTATGTATAAACAGAAACTGGAAAAATGTTACTTTGCAAGCGAAAATGTCAACACAGATAACTTTAGGCGTTCCTCAACACTTATTAACAATATCAAAGGCACGTTTTACTTATTTTCACTAATGCAAATCAGCAGAAAATGTTTCAAAGGACTGAAATCATAGGAATGATTCTTTTACAAGTTTACAGTTGTTTCTTGTTGTAACAGTTGAAAAATAGCGACTTTAATTGGTTTATCTTTGTCTCAAAGCAGAATTTTATTTCAACCTTTCTTTTGGACATCTAAATCCCCGTTATTGGTTTATTTCGACATGGTCGAAAATAGGACAATTTAACTCTTCCGCAAAATATGCATTGCACCTAAATATGATTGCATTTGAGTTTTTATTTTCGTGATTTGCATAAAGCTGTGTAGTTAAGCTTCTTGTAAACTAATACCTTCTACCATATCTTTGATAGTTTTAAGTAATTTATAAAGGAAGGAGGGTAACGTATGTTTTGACATTTAGAGTTTGTCTGATCAATAATCTGATTTTCATGGCCAAGGATGACAGTACACAGCTGTAGAGTTTGATAAACGAACAAGCAGCCCTTGGCTGTTTAAGTTATTGATTCTTCATTTATAAAACTGTTCTCTGAAGATAATGCGGTACACAGCTGTACACTTAGATAGATGCCAACCTCATTAGCGCCATTTTGAATAGTTAATCGTGGATCCCATTGCTACCATTACGAAACTAAACAATAACACACATCCTGTAATCTGGAACCCGTTGGACAATATTCAAGGGCAGAGTTTATAACCAAGCACAGTAAAGTTCCTAATGAACCTAATGTTTCTGTTTACGACTGCCAGTTGAGTTCCACACTACAATTTAGGATACTAGTACTTACGTAATTCGTAGTTCTTCACTCTGAGAGCGGGGGTGTGTGAGCGAGGTTGAGAGAGGGTGAGAAAAACAGCGAGGTTGAGAGAGGGTGAGAAAAACAGCGAGGTTGAGAGAGGGTGAGAACAACAGCGAGGTTGAGTGAGAGAAGGTGAGAAAAACAGCGAGGTTGAGATAGGGTTCGAAAAACAGCGATGTTGAGAGAGGGTGAGAAAAACAGCGAGGTTGAGAGTAGGTGAGAAAAACAGCGAGGTTGAGAGAGGGTTGAAAAAACAGCGAGGTTGAGAGAGGGTGAGAAAAACAGCGAGGTTGAGAGAGGGTGAGAACAACAGCGAGGTTGAGAGAGAAGGTGAGAAAAACAGCGAGGTTGAGAGTAGGTGAGAAAAACAGCGAGGTTGAGAGAGGGTGAGAAAAACAGCGAGGTTGAGAGGTGAGAAAAAACAGCGAGGTGAGAAAGAAAAACAGCGAGGTTGAGAGAGGGTGAGAAAAACAGCGAGGTTGAGAGAGGTGTGAGAAAAAAACAGCGAGGTTGAGAGAGGGTGAGAAAACAGCGAGGTTGAGAGGGGTGAGAAAAACAACGAGGTTGAGAGGGGTGAGAAAAACAGCGAGGTTGAGAGAGGGTGAGAAAAACAGCGAGGTTGAGAGAGGGTGAGAAAAACAGCGAGGTTGAGAGAGGGTGAGAACAACAGCGAGGTTGAGTGAGAGAAGGTGAGAAAAACAGCGAGGTTGAGATAGGGTTCGAAAAACAGCGATGTTGAGAGAGGGTGAGAAAAACAGCGAGGTTGAGAGTAGGTGAGAAAAACAGCGAGGTTGAGAGAGGGTGAGAAAAACAGCGAGGTTGAGAGAGGGTGAGAAAAACAGCGAGGTTGAGAGAGGTGAGAAAAACAGCGAGGTTGAGAAGGGGTGAGAAAAACAGCGAGGTTGAGAGAGGGTGAGAAAAACAGCGAGGTTGAGAGGGGGTGAGAAAAACAACGAGGTTGAGAGGGGTTGAGAAAAACAGCGAGGTTGAGAGAGGGTGAGAAAAACAGCGAGGTTGAGAGAGGGTGAGAAAAACAGCGAGGTTGAGAGAGAGAGAGAGAGAGGGAGAAGAGAAAGCAAAAGGAGAAATATCATATTCAAACGCGAAAGGTATTGTGCAACACCAACAAAAACAAAATCATTGTTAGAACCCGGATTATGCTAATGAACTACAATACCAAAACAATACATGTCCACAGGGGCAGTAACGGGCGTTTCCAGCCCGTGCACGGAGGCCACTGAAATTCCTGAGGAAAATCTTTTCGAGGAAGAATTTGGCGGGGTTCTGGAGGATTCTGGTGACGCCGTAAAATTTGCACCATGTCATCCCATGTTCAATGGATGACAAATCAGGTGCTCTTGCAGGCGAGAGTAACACGTTAATTCAACCAACTAGTTGTTTAATATTATCAGGCTGAAACGCAAGAGCAGGGCCACTCCATTGAAAAAACGTTAAAGCGGTCATTTGCAAAATCTCGTCACGGTAACTCACTGCATTTAAATTCCCTTCAGTCACAACCATTGGCTGCCTTTGCTGCAGGACACTAGAGTATGGAGCATCACACACTAGAGCATACCACCCTCATCTCCAAACCGATACCCTTCTGGAATGGTCTATAACTTGATTGTTGTGCTGAACACGTTGCCGCCATAAGTACCAAAAATGCGTTTTTAAGGACGTTGAATCGACTAGCAACGTCAAGCTGCAAGGTACCAGATACATAGAGGTGTTTTTCTGGCTTCTGCACGTTTTTGAATGGAAATGATAGCACCTAGTTTTCTTGTCTATACATGTGAATACGGCTGACCTTTTTTCTCGAATATAACTTTATATTAATCTTGAATACAAATGGAGCCCAGAACATCCTTAATGTCTTATAGAGTTAACGTTCTCTACAATTGCAAAGTCATTCCAGCATTGATTTGTACACTAAGACTTCTCAAATATTTTTAATTCCATCACTCAGAAATTATCTCTCACATGCTGACTTTTCAGATGATCTATCAAATCTGTTCTCATCATATTTCCTGAAAACATTGTCTGTTTGTTGGAGACAAGGTCCATTTTGATGATAAAGCTAAACTGGGTGTGCGGAAAATAGTACGCTTGCTGAATTCCCACTCACTGAAGCAACATGTGCCAACAGCAAATCATAAGGCAGGACATATCCTGGATTGTCACTCCACAAGACAATGCTTCTCTTATAAGCAATGTTATTGTGGACAACAACCTAGTCTCTCATCACAGTTGTGTGCTTTTGTCTCTCAACAGGAAGTAGTTACAAAACCATGTCGTAATCTTGAAGGAATTAACTGTGAAATTCAGTCAGGATTTGGCAACATCGGATCTTGTCACTATTCCTGCCATGGACGGACTGCCTTGTATAACAACTAAGTAATATCGTGCACAGCTGACTGATAGCCATGTTGAGAGAGCATCACTTTGCATTGAAGTAATATCGTGCACAGCTGAATGAATGCCATGTTGAGAGAGTATCACTTTGCATTGAAGTAATATCGTGCACAACTGACTGAATGCCATGTTGAGAGAGTATCACTTTGCATTGAAGTAATATCATGCACAACTGGCTGAAAGCCATGTTCAGAGAGGATCACTTTGCATTGAAGTAATATCGTGCACAACTGACTGAATGCCATGTTGAGAGAGTATCACTTTGCATTGAAGTAATATCGTGCACAACTGAATGAATGACATGTTGAGAGAGTATCACTTTGCATTGAAGTAATATCGTGCACAACTGAATGAATGCCATGTTGAGAGAATATCACTTTGCATTGAAGTAATATCGTGCACAACTGACTGAATGACATGTTGAGAGAGTATCACTTTGCATTGAAGTAATATCGTGCACAACTGACTGAATGCCATGTTGAGAGAGTATCACTTTGCATTGAAGTAATATCGTGCACAACTGAATGAATAACATGTTCAGAG